ATGCTCCTGCTGCTTCTTGTGTAACAATCATTCTTTCATAGGAGCAGAGGGAATTCTTCCATTTTCTCCAGCTTGACACCTTTAGGACCAAAGATCAAGCCTTGTTCTTGTTCCAAATGTAACATTATAAAAATTGTCATGTAAAGGTACAAGATCCCAAGGATGAATGTAACTGTACTGTATACCTAAAATGTACCAATAAACTCAATGAGAAAAAAAAAAAAAAAGACAGAATTAGCTAAGGCAGGAATGACCTCACACACCATCCTTAACTCTGGCTGGGAATTTAATAAGTTGAATTTCCTAGCCTGGTCTATAATAGAACTCCACTCAGATCTGTTCCTCCAGAAGTGGGTGAGGTAGGGAACATCCTTGGGCAAATAAATTGTATAAATATTGCATAATGTATATTACAACCTTGGAGATTGAGGAGACATGTTAGACTATGGTAACTGTATAATTTTAATGGAATAAAGTAAATTAATATTAGAACCTATAAGAACCCAATCTCAAATTCTGTAACTATCTCAATGACAAAGAACACATAAAATGTTTTGACTGAAAAAAAAAATTGCCCTTCAAATGTATTTTCCACAGTGGGCTACATAGAGCATCCGACACTATTCTTCTAAGTCTTTGGCAGAAATGTCTAATACAGGCATTTCCACTAGAAAACTTTACGTGCATTTTGAAAAGACATTTTGAAATCACATTACTGAAAATAGGAAGGCTTATAGGAAAAACAGGATTGGAGCAGAACATACACTTATGGAGCTTTGTAACCAGAACCCCTATAAATATAGTAACAACAATTAAAATGTTGGCAGAATTAAATCTCCTTTTTTTTTGTACCAGGGATCAAACTCTGGTCCTTGTGCTTTTGAGGCAGATGGTGACACCACTGAGCTAGATCTCCAGCCCAATCTCCACTAACATTTGAACCTTGAATCTCAGTCAGTCCTTTGCAGTTTTACCCTGAGTATGTGCTTCCTCCTTTTAGATATAAATTCCAGTGAGCCTTCAGTTCTGATGACCGTCCTCATTAAAAATTAAAATCTTAGGGCTGGGGATTTAGCTCAGTGGTTGCACCACCTGCCTCCCAAGCACAAGGACTCAAGTTCCATCCCTGGTAGAAAAAAAAAAAAATTAAAATCTGAAGTAGGATCTATCTTCTTTCTTCATCCATTGTTTTAATTTTGAGGTCAATTTCTTTGCACTTTTATCATCTGCACTTATTGTTTCACCAGATGGTTTAAATGAAACCAACCATTAACTACATCCAAAGAAAATATTCTATTGAACTTAAGATTTTCCTATATTGCTACTGTTCTCTAGTTGTGAGAAGATGTGCCTCTAATCGCATCACAGATTAAAGCTGGGGAAGTTTTGTATGAACCAACATTGACATATTGATGTCCTTGCCCCCTTTGACCAGTGGTCTATGAGCAAATTCACATTAATGGAGCATTCCTTGTTTGTATTTGATTATGGTCACCTGGATTTCATCCTCTTGAATCCACCTTTTTTTTATTTTTCCTCGTACCAGGGATCAAACTCAGAACCTTGCTCTTTTGAAGCAGGCTTTTGTTTTGTTTTGTTTTGTTTTGTTTTGTTTCAGACAAGGCCTTGCTAAGTTGTCCAGTCTTGGCCTCAAACATGTGATCCTCCTCCCTCAACTTCCTGAGTAACTGGGATTATAGGCCTTTTCCACCAAGCCCAGCAACTCTTGAACTTCTTGGAAAGCTTGCTGTGCTTTCTCGTGGTTATCTTTTATTAGCTCTCCCCCTTTTTCCTTATTGAAAAAAGGACAGTAGTAGGAAGGTTAACACCATATAAATACCTTGCTTGGGCTTTGGTGCCAGGTAGTCCTGAATTCACATCTTGGCCTCTCCACTGTTAACTTCATGTGTAATATGAGCCATGTCACTTATCCTCCTTGGGTCTCAAGGTTCACATCAGCAAGAAAAAAACCCTCACTTTGTTTTGTTGTTGTTGTTGTTTGGTTTGGGTTTTTGTTTTTGTTTTTATTTTTTTACTGGTACCTGGAATCAAACTTAGGATCTTGGACTTGCCAGGCAGGCGTGGCCCCATTGCTAAATCCCTTACTTTGAAGTAATTGGTGTTGTAAAGATGAATAATGATGTATATAAAACACCTGGCACAAGTCAGAAGCTTACTAAATAACAGCTGTTATAATTGGGGTCATTTGCAGAATTTTTCCCAGCTAGGAATCATCTTCCCTCCCAGATTCTCTTTCTGTGACTCCTGTGTATCTGCATCCTGACACACACTAAAACTCAGCTCCATGGTCAGATTGCTGGTTTACCTCATCAAGAGACCCCTCCCATCTAAGAAGTCAGTGCACCTGGCACATGGTGGTTGCAAAGTATGTTGTTGTTGAGTTGAAATTATTCATCTTTATATTTAAGCTTTTGGCATGCATTAATCTTTTCAGGGCTTTGTATAGCTTAAGTACTCAAATGTCTAAGGAAGGCAAATCTAGGAGCATCTGTATAAAATTCTGGATCAGCCAGCGGTGGTAGTGCATACCTATAATATAAGCACTTGGAAGGCTGAGGCAAGAGGATCAACACAAGTTCAAGGTCAGCCTGGGATACATAGTGAGTTCAAGGCCAGCCTAAAGTACATAGCAAGAAGCTATCTCAAAAAATAAAAAACAAAACAAAACAAAACAAAAAACTGTGGATCAGTGGTGGTAAGATGGGGTGGGGGCAGAAGATTGTTTTGCTTTGTTTTTTCTTTTTGTGATATTGGGGATTCAATTTAGGGCTTTTGCACTGAGCTTTTTATTTTGGCACTGGGTCTCACTAAGTCACTAAGTTGCCCAGGCTGGGCTTGAACCTGCAGTCCTTCTGCCTGGCTTTCCGAAAGGCTGGGATTATAGGCATGCACCACCACATCTGTCTGTTTCAGATTTGGGGGAGCAAAGTTTGCCTTGGTGAGAGGCAGCAGTCTGAGATAATGACTAGGTGGGAAAATTCAGGGTTCCTCTTTGATGGAAGTCACAGATAAAGAACCCAGGGTTCAGAGAGTGTTAATAACTTCCTCAGGGTCACCCTTGAGGTAGTAATGTGCTGGGGCAGGATTCATATTTTAATTCATACTTTTAATCACTAAGCATATAAATATCACCTTAAGTGATACTTTACATAGTACCTACTACATTGTACTCAGATATTCTCTCATTTAATACAAACATCACCTTGCAAAGTTGGTTAGTATGGACCCAGTGCATAACATGAAGACCAAAAAGTGGAGCTAGGTACACAACCATTCCTAAAGAGAGCCTGCTCTTGGGAAGGGAAGCACCTTGCCAACTGCCTTGGCTTTCTGTAATACAGGACCAGGATGGTTCATGTGGATCCCCTTGGCCCCTCTAAGCACAGGCTCACAAGACTACTGCTGATGACACAATTTCCTTTTCCTGGATGAAAAGCTAATAGGCCACATGCTCACACTCTGTGTGACAGCCTTACCAGCCTTTGAGCTTTGACCCAGGCTCTACTCTGGTTAGAATTTGCCCCATCCTTGTTACTCCTACCCCTGCTTCAGCCCCTAGTTCAAGTATTACTTCCTTGGCAAGTTCCTCCTGGCCAGAAGATGACATTATTCATCAGAACTGCTGAGCCATGGCTGTGGTGGAGGGTAAACTCCACGAAGCTCGGCCTGTCTGCCTTGCTCCGTATTCTGTCCCAGTGTGTCCAGCACAATGGCTGGAAAAGCCCATGAGTGCTGCTACTGGTATTTACTGAATGAACATTGAAAGTGATTCCAGGGTCACCCAGCCTGTCTTCCCAGAGATTCCTCTAACCAGTAGTAGTCTCTACTTAACTGTTACTTTTTCAGCTGGGCAAAGTGGCATGTCCCTTTAATCCCAGCACTTGAGAAGCTGAGGCAGGAGGATTTTCATGAGTTTGAGGCCTGCCTAGGCTACGTAGGGAGTTCAAGGCCAACATGAACTACATAGTTAGACCCTATCTCAAAAAAACAAAAAAGGTTACTTTTTCAACCATTACATTAAAATGCTAATTAAAGAATTAAGGGTGACCTAACTTCCTGTGGAATCATTTATTCTGAAGCATCGATAGATCCATGCAGGAAAGGGTGAAGAATATATTTTAGAGTAGGAGAGGCCTCATTTCTGAGCTTTTCAAAGTGTAGAGTCTATCTTGGAAGTATAGAAAAGGACTTTTGATAGGGGAGGAACGTTATTTCATTGTTTAAAAATGTTTATAAGGAGTACACTGAAGAAAATGCACATGCTAGATGATATAAATATACATGTAATCATATACACTCATTTGACTTCATTTATGTAAAATATGCATTCCTGATGGCTTATCCTGTGTCACTATGTCACAATAATCCTTATAAAGTAGGTATTATTTTTTTAAAGTAGGTACCTCTATCTTTTTGCAAGTAACTAATACTTAGAGGAGTCTGCTAATTTCTAAAGTTCAGTTAGTGAACTGTGAATTTCCAAAGTTCAAAGTTAGTAAAGGACAGACACATTTGAAACCCAGTCAGGCTTAAAAGTCCATACTCTTTTTTTTTTTTTTTTTTTTTTTTTTTGAGGGAGTGGGGGTGGGAAGCATTCTACCACTGAACTGTAGCCCTATTTCTTTTCTATTCTTTATTTTGAGACAATGTCTAAGTTTCCAAGGCTGGCCTGAGCTTGAGATCCCCCCTCAGCCTCACAAGTAGCTGGGATTACAGGCAGGGGCCACTGCAACTGGCTCTCAAAACCTCTCATACTCTTAGCCAGTGTATTAGGTGGAGAGAAATCCATCGAAGTACTCATTGTCTTTGGGAAATAATTTTTTCCTCTATTCTCCAGGATTTTCTAGGATATTCTATAGGAACTGAACATTAAACTTTTGAATAGGGAAGAAGATGTGGTGAAATTTGAAGGACAAAGCTATGGTATAGGACCAAAGAATTCATCCCCATTTCTTTTTTTACTTTTCTAAACTTTCCAGGTGAGCTGATGACTACCCCACTTCTGCAGGCCACTGAGGCCCTGTCCCCAGAAGCTGAAGAAGCCAGCACAGCACTCATTGCAGGTAACAAGGGCTCTGAGCCACATCTGAGGGACGCCCCACCCCAGGATTATGAGCTGTCTTGCTCCGGAGACAGCTGGAACCTGGTGTGATAAACTAAAACCTACCCCCCCCATAGGAAAAATCACATCAGAAACCAAGTCCATTCATGGGCTCACTGTGGCGCAGAAGTTCTGCACATACACACACACTGCTCTAAAAGACTTGGCCTCTGCACTACCAGTAAGCGATAGGTTGGGAAGTAACCACAAATAGGTACTGGTGCATATGGCCACCACACTTCTGTGTGGGTAGGGATGAGGAAGAGGGGGAGGATGAGAGAAACTGCTGCAGGAAGCTATGGGACTTAAAAACACCCTTCCTGTTGGGATAAGCTGTTTCTTATTTCCCATCCTATCATAATTGTCAGGAAATTGTTTGGGAGGGCGTTGTCTGTCAGAAATCAGAAGCATTATGTCCTTAGCCTAACTACCAGGAGACTGCAGATACCATGTGCCATGGAAGCTAGGTTTGGTGGGGAAACACAGATTTGGAAGTGGATGCTAATTGAAACAAGAGGATCCTTTTGAAGAATAAGGAAATGGTCTAATTCGGGTGATCCAATGAATTCCTGAGATGTCCTCACTCCTGAAATATCTCCATTTTCCCTCTCCTTTCCAAGTTGTTATCACCGTGGTCTTCCTCACCCTGCTCTCGGTCGTGATCTTGATCTTCTTTTACCTGTACAAGAACAAAGGCAGCTACGTCACCTATGAACCTCCAGAAGGCGAGCCCAGCGCCATCCTCCAGATGGAGAGTGACTCGGCCAAGGGCAGAGAGAAAGAGGAGTATTTCATCTAATGATTGCCAGGCCCCAAGGAGCAAAGTCCTGGCTCCAGTGCTAACACAGTGACTTGTTTAATTTATTAGCTGAAATTATCTGAAGTCAGTGAGTGACACTGAAGTGGGTGAATCCAAGCTCCTTCCAGGACACAGGCCCAAATGCCAGCATCACTGACTCCAGGGACCAGAAGCTGCTTATGATGTCTGCAGGCCTTTGGAATGGAAGTGGGGTCTGTGACTAGCTAACAAGGTGCAACTTTATTAGGGAACATTTGAGTATGTGCCTTATGGGAGAAAGAATGAGGGTCACTGGCTACTGCTCCACTCTGCTCCCTTTGCGGTCACTCAGTTGTAGGCCCAGAAGGAAATATCCATAGTTATTCCCAGAGACTAGTTACCACAGTAAAAGGCCCAACCCAAGGGATAGAAGACTCTGGGATCTTATCTCCTAACAAATGTGCTATATCCCTTAGTCTGAGTCTTTCCTTCCTATTTTCCCCAACCTCACACTTGTGCTATTAACACAGATTAAAACTTTTTCATTGATGTAGGAATCAGATTTTCATGTGCAACAAGTAACTATCCTCTTTGACTTGTCTTGCTTAAACTTTCACATTTTGTTTTTTGTTTCGTAACGGGGATTGAACTTGGGTCCTTGAGCTTGCAAGGCAGGCCACCGAACTGCTGAGCTAAATCCCTGGCCCGACATTTTGTTAATTTAACTTTGTGTATGTTCTCTCCCAAGTAGTTAAGAGCCTAGGGAAGCTCCATTATTTCTCAGAACTCTCAGCAGTTTGAGACAAAGCTGGGTCAGAAAGCTGCCCCTTGAAGAGCCTCATTAGAAACATCCTGGGAGATGAGTTTGGTCAGCCTGCATCCTAGCGAGGGCCACAATTTCCCAGATCCCATATGTGCACACACAGGGAGCCCAGAAAAGTCTGCTTCCCCCATCAGTGTCCTCAGAATCAATCCAAGAAGTGCCTAGGATTTAACTTAGTCCCAAAGGAAGGAATATTTAAAGGCCCAATACTTCCATATAAACTGTTAGCTCCTCAGATAGTTTACTTTGGAATTAAGCTAGTCTTCCTTTGAGGTCTTAATGTATTGTCTCCATTTTTCCAGTTCAAGCCCACCCAAGGTAAAATCCAAGAGCTGGAGAATTCTAGTTTTCAGTATTTCCCACAGAACTTTGGAGAAACTTAACTGAAGGCCTCCCAGATGTATACAGATTGATATACTATTTCTCAATCCAAACTTTAGAGCAAGTGAAGGGAACCAATTGTTTCCTTATTTCTAAGTTTAAATTCTGAATTCCAGAATCTGACTTTAGGTAGTAAAGTGAAGAAATGTGTTGCATCTAAAGTGGAACTCATGAAAATAGTCGATATTGCCCTTGTACTCCATTTATTTCAAAGCCTTCATTAAAGAAAACAGAAGAGCAGTAATACCTGGCTGAGTTCTAGATGGATTAAAAACAAAGACAAAAGCAAAGAAATCTAAAAACAAGCTAAGTAAAGAATCCTTGGAATGAGGTGTAATGCAACTTCATCACTTTATTCAAATCTTCAAAATAGTCTTTATTCTACATTTTTAGTATAAAAAATCCACAAGTTAAGTGCACCACAGTGTAGAGAGAGACATACAACGCTGAACTTCCATAACAGTCAATGGTACAGTCAAACATCACATGTACAGAACACAAAATTTAGATGAACTGAAATTATAAAATAAAATATCCAATTTCAGAAACAAAAGTCAAAATATTAAGGATCCCTGAAATATTCTTAACCCTAATGAGATTCCACTGGACTCAAGTCATTTTATAGTGAAGCATTCACCAGATGACCCTATCACCCAGTTTAGGAATTCTTGGGAGCCATGAGTGGCTACATCAGACACTCTGTCAAAAAAATGGTAACTGGTTTTTGATCTGAAAAACTCCCCTTAATTTGGCTCTGAAGTCAAGCTTTTGAAATGCATCCTCTTCCTTGTCCCTCATATTCTGAACAGACTCTTTTTTGCACTGATACCCTTTGTTGTAACTAAGCTCAGTTTTTCTGGCACCAAAGCAAATTTGGGTTAGGTTTGTGTGTGCAGAGACAACCTGTGAGGTGGGTCCAAAAGGCACCCTCTACTTTTGCCTGAGGAGATATAAAAGCAGGCATAACGGGGCCTGTGCTTGGGGCACATGGGAGTTTCAGAGGATCCTTACAACAGACAAGTTAAAGGATGTCAGGTGGGGAGAAGTGCAAGGAGAGAAGGAAATGAGTCTGACTGGCTTTCTGTCCTGCACCACTGATTCAATGGAGACTGGAAGGAGGGAATGGAAGACAAGGGTTGGAAACAGCATGTGGGGCAAAGGATGGAAAGGAAAAGGCAGACAGCTAATGCATTTCGTTTAACAAGTAATATAAATCAAAGATTTCAAGGAGATTACAGACCAATTTGGCAACTTTAATTCTCAGGAAGATCAAAGTTCCCTCCAAACCTAATTTGATGTTTTATTACTAAAAGCAAAGACCAGCATGGTACAGTATTACTCCAGAGGAATTAAAGGAAGATCCTTAGGGCTGCTTCACCCACATTCATTTCATGAATGGATACCTCCCCTCCCTCAAAATGCTTTAGGGAGGTACTGCTACCATTACGTGGTTCCTTATTAAATTTGAAAAGTGCCTGAAGTTTGGGCACCAGAAAGACACCCCAACAACATGTGTCTAAACTGCAATTTCAGGTTAATATGACTAAAGCAGTTACATTGTGAGAAGTGCTGAAGGTATGTGATGTCTTTCCCGGCACAGAGGCGGCGTTGGTTCCTCACCAGATGGTGTAGCCACCATCTGAGCCACCCATGAAGAAGTTTCCCTTCCGCTGAGTTACAAGGACATTGGCTCCCTGCATGACTGCAAGCTGAGCAGCATTGGGAGGGCATCCAGGAGGCGGAGGCTGGAAGGAAAGGACAAGGTAGAATGGGCACAAGGCAGCTGATACATTGGGAAGATGGCACTGCGTAAACAACAGCATTTGAGAAGCAGTTGTACCACCAACTTGAGTTCTGAAGCAAGTCTATTTTCTCCATGAACCCAAAACACAAACAAGAAAGGGAGCCTATTACTCATTCAAAAGGTGCTAGCTCCAAGATAAATTCTACGCATGGATACAACCCCATTTTCAGAACAGAAAACAGTTCCCACTCACTTCCCAAACAGGGACTAAATGCCAGGTCCATGGCCAAATCCCAGAGGATCCCTCAGTAATCTGGTGCTTCATTTTGGGAGGGAAATTTTGCACATGTTAAACATAACTCTGCCCCTGAGCTGCATCCCAGCCCTCTGGATACTGTTTATTTTAGCCCACTAAGTTACCTAAAGCTCACTAATGTCACCACCCCCACTTCATGTCTAGTGTGTGGTTCCTGAGTAGATGGCCTTAGCAAAGACCATGTGAACTCTAAGTCCCATGCATTGGTGAACTAAGTAGGGGGCAATGATAAGGAAAAAGCTAAGTATTAGGGATTATGATTGTTTTTAATCATCTGGGATTCTAATAAAATACCATGCTGATGAAATACTAAGTAAATGTTTACAGAATGAATAAGGAACATTACTAGACCAGTTCAAAATTAACTGGAAAAGCAATAAGCAGAACTCTGACAGGAAAACAAAGCAATCTGGTGCTGGTGCTATACATGTGCCAGTTCTCCTGTCCCCTCAGCCACTTTCTGCTTATTAGATGGCAGTTGTACCACAACTGGCAACTATTTTCCAGGGGTGGTGGGAGAATGAATATAAAGTCACTGCAGAAAGTTAAAACTCACAAGGGCTGAGTTTCTTCTAAGTTCATACTTACAGGAATGTTGCCAGCAGTAGCCCCAGCTCCAAATCTGGCACCTGCATCATACCCTCCTTCCACCAGCACTGTTGAACCAGGCGGATAGATGGGACCAACTGGATAATAAGCCATGGGAATTGTGGAACCTAAGGGCCCAACAGCCACAGACTGGGCCATGGGAAGATACAGAGAGGCGCCAGGAAATGCAGCTGACATGGTAGGGACTGTGGCAGCCCCTGGGTGCACAAAGCTCGGACGATATAGCTAAAAAGGCAGAAGAGAAGGCAAAATGTTATTTTGTTATTTCCTACTTGAAATCTCTTTATGGTGTCAATCTTTTTCTTTATGCTGCTGGAGATTGAAACTAGGACCCCACACATGCTACATAAGCATTCAATCACTGAACTACATTCTTTAAAAACATTTTTTTACAGGACCGGGGATTTAACTCTGGTTCTGCTGCCTGCCTCAAAAGTGCAACGTCCAAAAGCTCAATCCCCGGTACCCCCGCCACCAAAAAAAATTTTTTTTTTGAGATAAAGAGTCTCACTAAGTTTCCCAGGCCAATCTCAAATTTGTGAGCCTCCTGTCTCAGCTTTCCAAGTTGCTGAGATTATAGGTGTGTACCACCACACCCAGGCTGAGTCAGATTCTTAATTCTGCTTGTGTAGATTATATTTTTTTGAGAGTCATACAAGTTGCCTTTCCACTGGCATTCAGTATTCTCCTACATCATTTCCGGCTAGAGCTAAGGTCAGGCTCAAGGCATACTAACTCATCTTAATCTCAGCCAAAAAGCAATCACATAATGCATTCTCAAGTCCAACAAACTGCGTAATTACATGTTTTAGAATACTCCTCTGATCACTTTTCTGTTTGTGAAGTCAGAGTTAGCTAAGGATTTAAAATGTGATCCACGAGTATTCTCAACTAGTTCCCAAGTGTGGCAAAGGGGCAGCACCTCTGAGTAGGCAGGTGGAGCGTCAGTATAGGGTGGAGCCTGAGGAAGATGCAAGGTCTGAGGGTAGACTGGATTCCCAGGAGGCTGCACAGGGTAGGTTGGCTGCGTTGGATATTGACCTGGAAGACAAGAAAAAACTCAGGCGGGCTACTATAGAGTCACCAAAATGGGCAGGACGTTTGGGCAGTTAACTTGGTGAGAGTGGACAGATTTGCAATCAGCCCTGGAAGGCTGTTTTTTGGAGCTAAGTTTTTGTACCCTTATAATGGAAGGTGCTGGGTTCTGACTGGGTAGGAAAGACACTGTTTCCACCGGCATATTGTAAGGGGAAGTCTAGATGGGCCCAAATTCCCTATGGAATGTAAGACAGGTCTGGGGACTTGTTTCTGTGGTTCTGGACTGCTAAAGTATGTAGGGTAGTCTCAAAGTATGTAGGGTAGTCTCCGGGTAGTCTCCACAGGCCAGGCTGTCACCACCCCTGACAGTGGCTAACGGTGGTTCTGATTATTTACCTCGCGGTTTCTTATTCAAGGTCGACTTCCCTATAGAGTGTGAGAACGGGGAGTAAACCATCAGCCCAGGGAAGGGGTGAGAGGATACTACTCTGGCACAATCACAAGAAGGGGGAGAAGTTCGAGCTTCGCCCGAGAAGAGCAAGGAGCGGAGCGTGAAGGGCAGGGAGAAAGGACCTTGCAGGCCCCAACCCGTCCACAGACGCCAGCACCTCAGTAGTTAAACGCCGCCGGGCCTGTTGTTCTGGAGTGCGGCGCCCCGCCTCTGCCGACTCTCCATTGGCCCACCCAAATCCCTGCTCTAGTCCCCCATTTGCTCCCGCAGATGCCCATCATGACAAGGCCCCCCCACACACCCCCAACCTTGCAGCTCCGAACTGCGCCACAGAGTTTAAGAGGGAAAGGGCCGGGAGGGAGCGAGCAGCCGTAGTTACGAGATGCCGAGGACATCAGGTGCACCCCCACACCCCGGCCGGCCGAGGGGCGCGGCACAGCCCATGCCAAGCCTGGCGCGGAGTCAACCTGGGCTCCGAACCCATTCTTCCAGGGCCAGCACCACTCCCCCGATGGCCTCAGCCGCCCCCTGTCCTTGCCTTTGCTGTTCATGGTGTATGCGGGTCCCGTTCGACTCGGCGTCGCGGACGGTTATTTTTTTCGTCCTCTTCCTGTTCGGAGTCACTTCCGTGTCACGTGACAATCCCCGCCTCCCGTCATCCGACGCCCAAGAGCCGCTGCCACCGGAAACCCCGCCCCTTCGTCCGGCCTCCAGTCACCGCGAGGGCCCAAGTAGTCCTGCCCACTTGGGTTGGCTCCGCCCACTTGTCCTCGTCCCCCCACCCCTGCCACTCATCTGGGGAAAAACCGAACCCTGCGTTCAGGTAGGGATTATCTCACAAAACGGGTCTTTTCTGTTGGGCTCTTGGAGGCAGAAGGATCAAATCATTCCCTGAAACCATTTCCCGCCGACACTCATTAACTCAAGGTCAGCTCACCTTGACAGTCTTTCCACGAGAGATGTAGATTTTTGCAAAATTTCCCGACTACCTAAAACATGCTCTCTAAACCTTGGTACCTGGCCCTCTTCTCTTGCCAAGTCCAATTTAAGCTTCGGTACCTTCAAGATTTATTCTGCCAGTCCAGTTCATATCTATCTTTTCCTAAAAGAGACTTTAACTACAATCTTTGCTGCTTGTATGTTCCAGTGACAGGCTGCCACGTAAAGGAACATAAAGGATGTTTTGCTGGACCATCCACAACAGCTGGCACTGAAGCTGACATAGTTCTCGAGTGTGTGTTACCCTGCCCTTTCTTTGGCACCTGTTACAGGTGACCTGTGTGGGTGCCAGTGTGTGTACACATCTTTTCTCTTTTCACTTTGCCTCTTAATTATCCCTCTAGTTAAAGATGACATCCTTAAAGGCAGCAATTAAGTTTTTTTCCTCTTTCTTCATTCAGTAATACCTGCTGAAGCCAGGTGGTGCACTCCTGTAACCGCAGCTACTTAGAAGGCTGAGGCAGGAGGATCTTACATTTCAGCCTGGGTAACACAGCAAGACTCTGTCTCAGGATAAAAAATAAGGGCTGGGGTAGAGGGTTCAGTGGTAAAGCACTTGGTATAAACAACAACAGCACTGCTACCCACGAATGTGAAGATGGAGTTAAAGCAAAAATAGCTAGGAGCGGTGGTACACACCTGTAATCCCAGCACCGAGGCAGGAGGATCACTGAAAATTCCAGGCCACCCTGGACTGCATAGCAAGACTCTGTCTCAACAAAACAAAACAAAACAAGCCTAACAATGTGGAGTTTACACTGTACATTGTAGTAAAAGTATGTGGGAAAGCATAAGAATGAAGAGGAGGGTGGGAGAATTAGCTCAGTGGTGCCACCACCTGCCTCCTAAGTGCAACGGACCCAAGGTGGATCCCAGGAACCAAAAAACAAACAAAAATGGGCCAGGGATTTACCTCAGTGAGTGATGCTGTGGCCTGCCTCTCGAGTTCGATCCCTGTACCCCCACCCCAAAAGAAAGAAGCCAAGTGTGGTGGCTCACGCCTGTAATCCCAGCCCTCGGGAGGCAGAGGCAGGATTGCTGCAAGTTCGAGGCCAGCCTAAACTACGTAATAGGTTCAGGGTCAGCCTGAATTACAAAGTGGGACTGTAAGACCTAAAGTCTCAATTCCACTCCGCGGAGCATGAACAGCCGAAAGGCCTCCACGATGCTGAGTCCTATAGCCCAATGAGGGCTCTGGACACAAGACCCAGGGCCTTACTTCCGGAAGCCTCCACGATGCTGGGACCTATAGCCCAGCGATGGCTCCAGGAGCTTGACAAGCAGCGAGAATCACCACGGAAGGAACACACCGGGCTAGTTGGAAAACAGACATTTATTAGTCTGGCCAGACGGCACTCCTGGAGCCAAGTAGCTCCGAGAGGCGCCAGCTCAGGGGCTGAGGTCCTTTTTATAAGGGGATAGGGAGGGTGGGGGTCTATACTCAAGATGCTTACAGAATGTCAAGGTTTTCAAAGCATTCCTTGCAGACAAAGAGTGAAACAGTCTTTATCTATTTACCCAGAACTACTAAACAGTCACCTGTTAATTGATATTACAGTTGAGACTAGGAATTTACTTAAAATTACAGAGTTGTGCAGTCCCACAAGACCCTGTCTCAAAAAAGAAAGAGAAAGAAAGAAAGGAAGGAAAAGAAAGAAAGGAAAAGAAAGAAAGGTCTCACTAGGGTTGGTGGTGCACACCTTTTGGACAGCCTGGGCAATTTAGGGAGATCCTGTCTCAAAAATAAAAAGGACTGCTGGGAGTGGTGGCGCATGCCTGTAATCCCAGCACTCGGAAGGCTGAGGCAGGAGGATCGCTGTGAGTTCAAGACCAGCCTGGGCTACATAGTGAGATCCAGGTCAGTCTCAACTACATAGTAAGACCCTGTCTCAAAAAACAAATAAATTAAATTAAATTAAAGTAAAAAGGATGGAAGATGTAGTTCAAGGGAATCATGAGCCCAGGTTCATCCACAGTATGGAGCTGGGGGGAGCTTAGGAGAGAAAAGCTCTCAGTAAACTTTAGAATCTTTCTTTTTTTGTGTGTGAATGGGGATTGAACTCAGGACCTTGCCCTTGCGAGGCAGGCGAGGTGCCACAGAGCTGAATCTCTGGCTCCAAACTTTAGAATCTTAATAACTATTTGATGATTGATTTGTTAAACCATGGGAAAAGACCCAACTTGCTTCAGCATGGTGTTCTCTTCTGTCTCCAGTACTGTATCACAGTTTACAGAGCACCCTAAAATACAGCGTCCCACCTGGTCTTTGGAGTAGCCCCGTGTGACAGCAGGGCTTATTCAGGCATTCCTGTTTTGAAAGTTGCAGAATTGATCAGGAGAGATTTGCTTTTAATCCCATGGTAACAAACACAACTAGCACCCAATTCCCAGGTCAGTGTTTTTATTTTGTTTTGTGTTTTTCTTACTTCTTATTGATATACACTGCCTTATGTGACTAAAATGTTTGATTTCCAAGAATGTGTTGGAAAGTTTTTTTTTCCTCTCATTGAGTTTATTGGTACATTTTAGGTATTCAGTACAGTTACATTCATCATTGGGTTCTTGTACCTGTTGGAAAGTTTTTTAAAGTTATTTTTCTTCTTTCAATATATTCAAGTTATTAGTTGATGTTTTTCAGTAAGAGGATGGAGACGTGGCTTTGTGCTAAGGTACACACCTGCCTCTTCATCATTTTGAAACAGGGTTTCACTAAATTGTCCAAGCTGATATAAAACTTGGGCCCCTCCTACCTCACCCTGCTAGGTCCACTGTGTCAGCCACATTATTAGTTTGATTCAAGATAACACTAGTTTAGAAAAAAAGATAACATTAGTAATGTAAAGCCTATGACTTTTTCCTCTACTTTTTACTCTAATGTTCTTCAAGGCAGATGTTTTAAAAATTCACTTATTCAACCCTCATTTGTAGAGCACTTACAAATGCCAGGTATTGTTTTAAATAAAGCAACTGAAACCCTTACTGTGCTAAAGCTCATCTTCTAAGGCAGGGGCTTGCAACCTTTTTTTTTTTTTTTTACCAAATCCACAGTAGTACACCTTATTTATTTATTTATTTATTTATTTATTTACAGAAAGGATCTCATTAAATTGACTGATCTAACTGGCCTCAAACTCAGTATCTTCCTGCCTCAGTCTCCCAAGTAGCTGGGATTACAGGTGTGTGCCACCACACTGTGCTCAATAATACACTTTATTTATTTTTTTTCCACTTCATTTATTTTTTTCCCTGTACCAGGGATGAAACTCAGGACCTTGTACTTGCAAGGCAGGTATATTGCCACTGAGCTAAACAATACACTTTAAGTAAGAACCTAGCGCACACACATTTATACATATATAGCCAAAACAAAATTTTATGTCTTAATACCATCCTGTTATTCTCTACTCTTCCTTTCTTTGTCTTTTTCTTCCCATCTCCATCTTTCTTTTTTTTTCACTTTGGTTGTGATTCCACATCCCGCTAACAAGTCAGCTTCACAGTTGGACAAATACTGCTCTTAATGCACCATCACCCTCGGGGCCTTGCGCTTTTCTCTAAGCATGAAGTCTGCAGCCTGTAATTGATGACTAAATTAATGAATAGCTAGTCAGAAACCAGATCAGGCAAATCTTCTCTGTAAAAGAAGCATGAGGCATTTTCACTCTTCCAAGTCATAGTCTAGAAGTAATCCCACTCCAAAGCCTGAAATGGGAGAGGTGGCTGCTGTGTGAAATTTGTAAGGAAGGCGGGTAGAGGAATTTACCAATGGACAAGGAATGTAGAAAAGACAAGGAGTGAAGTAGGATGGAAAAAATAAAAGATGGGTAGAAAGGAGATGATGAAATCATAACTAAAAATTATACTTTTAAGAAGACTGCACTCTTGCTGCCTTTGCTGCCTTGTGCTTGCCGTGTTCTTTCTCCTCTGCAATACCCATTTGCCATACCTGCCTTGGAGCCAGCTGATTAGGGACCGAAACCTCTACGAACTACGAGCCAAATAAACCCTTTCCCTTCTAAAGAAAAAAACAAAGAAGACTGCAACTTCTGGACCCAGCCAGTAACCCACCAAGACCCATATCAGCGTTCCTTGGATAAATTTAGGCTCCTTTCTTCCAGAACCATTGCACTCAGAATTCCTCAGGAATACTGAAAGTCCATAATGGCTTGAGAAAGAGCAGGAACCTGATCCTAAGAAACAGGTTGAGAGAATCCAAAGAATGTTTAAATTACCTATTCAGAAAAAACAAAAACATAAAGCTGCCATACCTATTAAATGGGCCAGCACCCTTCTGGGGCTTGGGACACCTTCTCCAGAGGTTCCACCTTTGAGAGAAGCTTAATGTTCCCTATTCGGAAAAAAATAATGTCTCATTTGTCTGAGCGCCTGCACTTCTCTTGAGTGCATCCTAAAATCTGTACCTAATAAACCCTTCCTGTGCCTCTTATAGGCATGTCCCCAAAATTCTCTTTCCAAGATGGGAGTTAGTAAGCCTGCAAACTTACTCTGCAAAAGGGCAGGTTAAATTCCTCAGTCCAGCTTCAGGAACCTCTCAGTTTCAGCCCAGTGACAGAAAGAAAGAAACCATACAGTCAGTGAGGGTTATGCGGGATTGAAGATCTG